TAGAAGCCTCCCAATTGCACGGAGGTAGAGGAGGCGGCTGACATTGCACAAGCTCTCCTCTACTGCTTTACTCCTTTAACACGAAATATGTAACGGTAATGCTGATTGCGTGCAGTAATTTCTTAATAAAAGTTTATGTACCTGATCCCACTGTGCTTTTCACATTACCAGGCAGCAATCATGTGGTACAAGGGCAAAGTGCTGAAGGGAGTGTGAACTCAATATGCGGAAGTGTGCAAATGCATCACCCTGCAAATCCACCATTGCATTGGTTGTATAGTGTGGATGTGCTATTTGCCAATAGCGTGTTTGGTAACGCAGTAGCTTACTTTTGAATATTTCCGCATGCATTTTAATTGCCACTTATTCTGACATGAATGAAGATTGCTCTTTGCGCTGAGTGATTTGAGTGTTGCTCAAAAATCGACTCGAACAAGAGCTAATAGCCAACTGACTATTGTCCCATAGAACCCGAGGTATTTATAAGTATTTTTCTTTACATTTCCAGCCAAACTGTAATTTTCTGCAAATATGAAATTCCCAGGTTTCTGAATTGTCTACAAAGACGCAGCAGCTCATGCCAGATGTAAGAAATTGCTTCTTTAAGGCGAGTGGGCGTGGCAGACGTGTCAATCGGATTTATCAAGATATGGAATTTTGATGCTGGTAGCTTTGAAGGAGATCCGAAAGACCATCGGAGCATCTACCTGCTCAAAATGGTAAAACTAGCATCACAGTATCAAAGAACGGAAGAAGTGAGCAACTGATTAGCAGGCAGAGGATTTGAAGATGTGAAAGTGAGCGATGTACAGAAGCATGACGATAAGGGACCAATTGAGCGCTCTCAGGGCGTTATTTTAAGAGCAAAATATTCACAGCGAAGTTACAAATTACCCTCCTGTGCTAGCATATCTTATTGCAGTGTAAACCAGTGTTGCGTTGTCTTGTGAAAATTAGGGATTGTTTGACAACATGTCTGATGGAGAATGTGACACTTGCCGTAATCAAGTGCAAGAGGGTGTATATGGATATTTTATCCGCTATTACCCGAGACAAGGCGAGATCGCCTGCAAGACGGTTGTGCGTGCGCGAGGGCACCAGTTTGTGATGCATATATTGTGGCATCAATAATGTGATCGTTCTTGTCTACTCAGAGGCACGAGGCAGGATCACACAGACGTCCAAAGCCTCTGCCAAAGCTGAAGTCAGACGCGTCAGGTTAGCTGCGCGCTATGATAAAGAAGGTGATAGCTTGTGTACGTGACAAACGAGACTCCTCAGGCAGAGATAACTGACGTGTAGCTGGTCCTAAGTGGAGCATGATATCTCCCAGGTGTGCGCACACTTCCAACCCTCCTGTGTGCTTGTCTTGCTCCATCCACACAAAATAGCTCTTTGCGTACCTGCTTGCTCGCCTGCGTGCGCGCGTGCACACCGAGGATGCGGTGGTGTGATGAGCACCGCAGATGCCAGTAACTATGAATGCTTCCATGTGCCACTTTCGACACAATGATTGCTTGCACTTACAATTTACCTGCTTCTAACAAGGTGACATTACTGTTTGAAAGTACTTCCAATCTTTGCTTTGATATTTTGCACTCTAGATCATGAGAGGTTTTTGTGGTTTTAGAACAGTGCGCTTATTGTCTAGCACGTGCTCATTAACTTCTTTTCACCTTGTACAATTATCCAAGTGATTTCTCAAATCCACACCTCTCCTGGACCTCTGTAGCAAATATGCGATTGCAACACCGTGGCGATCATTCATATTTTTCGCATAATGTTATTTAATCAATCAGCAGTCGTGATAAACCTAGATAAGCTTCCCTAACTCGATGCGTCACGTTTCTGCTGAGGCAAACTGACTAACCAATTCTTACCGGTCGATCTGCGTGCAACAACTATGAAGGAATGAATGGATAAATGAATGCATGTCAAATACCACTCACAAACCTTATGAACATTTACCAAAAGTAAGACCATCCATTGAAATGGATGATGCAATTCACCTGATGTTGTTTGACATGTTCTTTGCGTCCCTCATGTATTTTTTACATAAATTGTTTTACCTTGCCCCTGTGACCTTACCCAATTGCTGTAAATATAGGCCAGACATCAAGTTTTCTAGTGAATATCACGTACGCTTAAACAAATATGGTTGCAAATCCGTGGTGGTCATTTTCAAGTCGATCAATTTTGATGTCACCTACATGGTCAATTGCTGCATTGAAGAGCCGCGGATTGTGACGTTCACCAACGGAAAACGCAGCCTTGGTATCGCTTCTTCTGTATTACACCTATCTTTAACATTTGCCAATCGACGAGATATGGAGTGCTATGCTTTTGGTAAGAACAGAGTGATCGATGGTCTCATTGCACAAAAGGGAAAAAGATATGAGTTCTCCCTGTACAGGAGTCGATAACCATTGAGGGTGGGAGGGGCTGATTCTTCAGCCCAAACGTTTTTTGGTTACTATTGTAGATTGAATAATGACGTAGACGAGGAAAAAGTATATCTGCTCTACATGTATGAAATCAGTTACACATAGGCATGGTCCAATTATTCCGATTTTGCAACAGGTACTCATTAAAAACAATAGATAGGTTTCTTTAGTGAGGTTATGAGAGAGAATTACAGTGTGCAGATGAATATTTGGGAAGGGCAAATAGGGAATTTTGTCTTGGCGAGTGATCTGCTTTACAGAAAATTTAATTTAAGCAAATGACAAGTGGGCAAAGAGTTCATCACGATTACCGTGCAAAGAACTGGGCTTGACCAGTGTTAGGGAAAAGAGCCGTCAATGGTTCAATGGCCAATCTCAGAATCGCGCTCAATTCATCCGACATTAGATGTTGCTAGGCATGTCCAGTCTATAAAATGGAATACAAAATTATTTTGCTCTAATGCACAGGGGTATTGATAATACAGGGGTGTTGACATCACTGAATAGCAAAATTAGTGGACTAATAAAAGAAAAAGGAGTAACTGAGGCTTGAACAGTACAATTTAGCTAGTTCTCTTCATCTTCTGCCACCAACACAACCTCTACTTTGTGGTTAACTTAACTTATCCCGACTCCTCCCTTTTAAAAGTAGCACCTTATAATTTGATAATTGATTCCTCCATAGTTTTACAGTTTCCCTATTTGATTCGGGAAGCCTCATGTATCCACAATGTAAGAGTGGAGGAGAGGGGCAAAGTAGATGAGGGTCACAGCACTAGTATTATGAGAACGAAATTTAACGCATTTTAAGGGAAAATGTCATTGCAACTTATTTAACCTTTTTAAATGGCGTGAATCGCAAACCTCAAAACTGTAAACAAGTGCTTATTTGACCTGAGTTATTGGAAAAACAGCTGCGATAGTTTATAAAATGGTTTCCGTCACGACAACTATCAATTTTCCTGATTTGCAACCGAAAAAAATATTCAAATCGCAGAACCTGAACCCCCGTGATTGTCATTTGTTCACATTGTATTCTGCAAACTCTGCCCTGGGTTTTGACAAAACTTACGCCATAATGGCAGATTATTTTGCGTCATGCAAGACTAAAGTCAGAGCAGAAAGTGCATGACACCCAGGCCTGATTCACTGGTTAATTCAAAGGGTATTTCTCGATTCCCATCGCTGTCAGTCGAACGCTAATGTGTTGCCGAGTTTTCGGATAAAAATTCGTGTTTCACCGCAAGCTATTGAAATGGTAAGGTTGATGCCATGGCAAACCTGTAAATGATTTATGAGTATCACTCTAATTTCTGCACTTTATTTCAAAGTTGCCATGTTTGTACACCTCATTTTTTCTTGTCTCTCTAGATTCTAAACAATTTGGCTTCCGAGAGGTCGCTGCATTGCTTTAAGAAGTGTAGAGCACCTGACCCATTACTAAGTTAAGCCTGATGATCTCTGCTTGCTATGAGTCACAAGGATGAGGGTTAGGCTTTCGCCTGACAGAAAGCTCATGTTAGTCAGCGGTTTCCCCCCTAAACTATTTAAAGAGCTGCTGAATGCCCAAAGTCACCGGTTAAACAAAGGTATTCCATGGGTGACTGCAATCCTGCAATATTGGAAAGATAGTCTTCCTTAAGTCCTTCCTTATCTTATGCGTTCTCATCGGCTTTATCTTTGCGATTCCTCTCCACCTATTGCACGCACTAAATGCCTCATTTCACACCCTGAAATAAGCAGCAGTTTGAACATGCACGCGTTTAGAAAGAGCAGTTAGGCATGCTTGACTCTCCTTCATTTACCTATCTTAAAACCTCTTCCATCTATATAGATGACAACAAATCAACTTGCGAAACTCATTGCGTTAAACAAGGCTTTTGATGACTTCCGAACTGTTCAAACTGGTTTGCGAGGCAGATGGGACAGAAGTTCTTAGCAAATCTTCCCCGTTTGCAGAGTTGAACACGGCTGTGATGGCAGTCAAGATGATTCCAATATTATGAATGTTTGAATGTGACTGGAAAATTGGAGAGTTACCATAGGCAAAAGGAAAAATTTGGCTGCCCCTGCTAAACGCTCTTCCATTGTTTGATAAGGAAAGGGTGTTCCTAATCTAGACTACTTTGTCTTCTGGCTATAACCTCTGATAGTTCCACTTAATAATATAAGAATCTGTTTTGCACTTAAATGGAAGAGATTCTTCGAATTGGTATGGAAGTGTAAAGTGTTCGACATGCGAGACATGTAATTTACCAGGCCCTAGCATATTCCAAAATGAGGAATTATGGTTTTTGGTCAGAGGTACTGACACTGGTAAATCTAATGCTTGGTACTCCCTGAAAGCTACTCAGTTAGCCTGCAAGACTATTTAAGATTTGTCCTCGTACCTTTCGCGGTATAACTAAAAGTTGTAGTAAATATGGCCTCTGGCATGACACATTTCACCTGTCTCCCTTTTTCTTAATTTTGTCTTGTAATGATTACTTCCTAATAATCCAATGGTATGCTGCCTTTGAATATGTCATTCGAGAGAACAACGCCGAAGGCAGAGATACATATAAAGACACCGACTGAAACAAGGCTGGCTAAAGAAAACTGTCACACATTTTTGTCGTCAAGGTATTGCTTCGGAGTTGGACGAGATAAAATGCCTAAAAAAAAGGAAATCAAATCTAACGCCCATAATTTTTAAACCAATTTTGTCAGAACCGCGCAAACGTCAACAATAGAACCAGTTGAGCCATCGTATTTCTTTGTCAAATTATAAGGAGTTAATTAAACACTCCTGTTACATATCGCGAGTGAAATCGTATATGTTTCTTAAAAACTTGCCGACATCTGTAACAAATCTTAAAGGCCTCTTAATGGCCTTTACCATATCAAGAAATTCTTAATTTGCATGGAATAGTTGCACCAAATGTAGCATCTGTGCATCGTAAAACACATAATGCCTCTGCATTTTCATCTCCACTTGTGAAAGGAACACAATTCCCAAAGGTTTGTGCTGTAGGTGAGGAAGCTGTGATGTCTGGCGTGATTTAAATGCAAAATCTGAAATATAAAAAATCAACTAATGATGAAAAGCAAAATCTGTGCTGTCCATATGATTCGTTCTAGTGGTTTGATTTTCTTTTAAGTTTGTCTACCCCACCTCCTCCTTCGTATAGCACTTATTCATTTTTATGTAGCAGGACTTATAAATAATGACTATAGCTCTCCAATCGGTGAAGACAGCAATGACAAAAGAAATCAGCAAGAGCTACTGTCGCTCATCCTCATCGCCACGGCTCATGTCCTAATGGAGTTGCAGTTAATCTATTGCAGGCACAGGCTGAAGTCGATTCAACCAGCTTAAGTTATTATGGATACTGTCATGAAATACGGCACCTGAAAGCGAGTAAGGCAATGGTGAGTTGGACGGACTATACCTCATCCGACTCCTCAATCTGTGAGCGTCTCTTGAGCATCGACTGAACCAGGAGCAGTGGTAGCATCGCCAAAACTCCTTCAATGATTTCTACACTAATTACAGGAACACTCACTAAAGAAAGGACGTTCACTTCGCCATGAATACTCTCCAGATCTCCTTCCTGGCTTGTGAAATGGCGATAGAGAGCGTTGAATTGAACAAGAAATTGTCCAACTTTACTGAGGCTAAAAAACTTATGTCTGATCTCTCCATTTAACCTGCAAATGATGACTGAAAGGGGGAATGAAACAGAACTTCACAAATTCCACCAATATCCTGTTCATCCCTACATTATATGGGTAACTCTACTTTAATAATGCCCTTAACAACGCCAGGAGTCGGTAATCGTTTAGTCGATTCTTAAAGGCCTTCATATGCCTACTAGGTGAAGCACCCCCATTCAAGCCTGATTAATAATGAGCCATCTTAGTGGTTATCTTCATACCGTTGCTGCGATTGAATCGCCCACCGACTACTGTTGACCAGTCACATTATTCTCTTCAAAATCAATGACCGAAAGGCCTCTTTTGCACGTACTAAGGTGCTCTTAGAACACCACATAGAGGAGGCTATTCTCTAACTGTACTCCTATCTCTCGATGAACTTTCGGCGCGCAAATGCCGCGCTAAT